TTATTATCCTTTAGAGTAAAACCCAACCTGCCGGTTTCTTTTTTTTTTTTTTTTTTTTGGTTTTTTGAGACAGGGTTTCTCTGTGTAGCTTTGCGCCTTTCCTGGAACTCACTTGGTAGCCCAGGCTGGCCTCGAACTCACAAAGATCCGCCTGGCTCTGCCTCCCGAGTGCTGGGATTAAAGGCGTGCGCCACCACCGCCCGGCTAACCTGCCGGTTTCTAAGAGTCTCTGTATGTATCTTGACCATTGACAATGGTTTCCAACCATGTTGCACATTGCAGTGAACGGAAGGCTTTGGAAAATTCTCATACCCATGAATCACTTCTAGCAATTGGGACATACTTGGTATGAACTGTAGGCTGGACCTTGAAAGTTTTAAAAACATGCCCTAAATGGTTCAAATGGTACAAGTTTGGGAATCGTTACCTTTAAGGCTCATTTTAAAACACAATTTCTCTGCACTTATTTTGAGGTTAATTCTCACCTGGGCTTGCCCTTGCACCATTTCCCTTGTAAACTGTGGTGGGAAACAACAGGAGGTTAGCCTGAGATCCGTTCTTCCTGCTGTGAGCGCCTCGGGTCTCCATTAGGGTAATTGAACTCTCTGCTCTAAGTGCAGGGAAGCCATTAATGGAGGCTTCCCAGATCTGCGTTCCTGCTTCCTGTTCCGCTGGGTGTTCCCTCTGGCCGGCTAGGTCAGGATCTCCCTCCCTCCCTCCCTCCCTCCCCCAGTGCCCTTTCACTGTACCTGACAGGTCATACAGGTTTGACTTCCTGCTCTTATCACTATTCATGGGCAGCATCTCCCTGGTCCGTCGTCCGTCCGTCCGTCCGTCCGTCCGTCCGTTTATGTCACAGCCATCTTCTGGATCCTGTCACCCAGTTGCTACCAGAGTCCCTCAGACTTCCTCCCAGTCTGAGACACCTTGTTATTCAGATCCTGGCCAGGCTGATCAAGCAATTTTGCATTCTCTGTTTACCTATCCCTCCCCTGGGTGCGGCCAGATGGAGCTGCGGTTGATGGAGGACTGTAAGCAAACCCTGTCGGGGATCTTCCACTGGCTCTGGGTCACAGCACATGGGCCATCTTGGGAGCCAAGGTGATCTGAACTTGACCATGCTTTCCCTTGGGCCGGTAAGGCTACCCACTATCCTAAAAACACAGAGCTTCAAATCTGCAAGAAACGTGAATGCCTAAAGTCAAAACAAGGACTGTTTCACCAGGGACATCGTCCCCATTCAGGATGAGTCCCTGTCTGTCGTCTGCCCTGGCCCTCTCCAGGGATGGGAGCGTGAGTGGGGACAACAGAAGAAGAAATACTTTCAGTCCAACGAGCATTACAGAGTGCTGAGCTTTTTTTCAGGCCATATGGTGCCCATGACAATCCTCATTGCCTTTCCTCTGCTGTCAATCACTCCCCCTTCCGTCGGCCTCAGCATCATTCCCAACTGAGAGTGGGAGTCCAGACCAACCCGGGACATCAGTAATGGGCCTGAATCATTCTTGTTCTCTAAGAAAGTCTCCATTAAGTTGTTTGAATTCTTTTCTCTGTCTCTTTCTCTCTCTGAAGGCACCAACTTTTCAAAAACAATATCTGAGATGTTTCGAAGAAGTGTATCGCCCATACACAATACTGAGCATAAGAGCTCTTTCCCATTTTACCTTTGCTCAGGTGGAAATCCAGCCTGGGGCAACAGTTGCTTTGCCGGGACACAAGGGTCACTTTTCTCGTGTATTATTAATGCAGCGTCACTATTAATAATGACTGAACCTACTGAGCGTTTACTCTGTGGCAGACACAGTGCCAAGCCCCTTCATAATTCATTTCAGCTACTCCTTGCCCTGCCCCATGAGGGGGCAGGTCTTATTTATTCATTTCACCTTTGAGACCTTGCCCTAGAGCACTGAAAGGCTTCCATAGCTAGTGAAGGGAGGTTCCAGGTACAAGCCTGCTGCGATGACTGTAAAGTGCATGATATTTGTCTTTACAGTTTTCTGGGACGACCTTTCCTTGTGAGACCATTGTTTTTAAATCCTAGTAGCAGCTAAGTGTTGTGACATACTCCTATAATCCCAGCAAGTGGGAGGCAGAGGCAGGAGGATTCACTCACAAGTTAGAGGCCAGTCTGGCCTCCATAGTGAGTTCCAGGACAGCTACGGCTACATAGAGCCTGTCTCAAAATAATAAAATCCTCCTCCCTTCTCCTCCTCCTCCTCATCATCATCATCAGGGGCTGGAGAGATGGCTCAAAGATTAAGAGCACTGGTTGATCTTCCAGAGGACCCGGGTTCAGTTCCTAGCACCCACATGGCAGCTCACAACTGTCTGTGACTCCAGTTCCAGGGGATCTGACACCCTCATACAGACATACATGCAGACAAAACACCAATGCACATAAAAATAAAAATAATAAAATAGGTGATGAGACAGCTTAGCTTATATGACCTGAACTTGATCTCCAAATCTGCAATGAAAGCAGAGAACTGAAACTTGAAAGTTGTCTTCTTTCAAGGACAACTCCCCCCTCCCCCCACTCCTACTCCCCGCCCCCGCCCCCATACCTCACACACATACCCCCCACAAACAAATAAATCCAGGTAACATGGCTTTCTTATTGCGATTTTGAAAACTAAAGTCTATAAGATTATTAGAATTGTAAAAATGGGGGTGCAACTTTATACACTTAATTCTCACTTGAAAAATCACGATCAATGGGTTGATTGGCCAACTTTTGTTTCCTCAGTTCCTGGGAAGGGTTCTGGACATAAGGAGGTTATGGGAAGGGAGCCACTGTGATATCCTGGGAACTGAGTACAGATACCTGTTCAGGCACCTTTGGGTCTGGCCTTGCTCAGTCACTGCTTCCTCTAAAAGTCTCCTTATTTCACAGAGGCCTAACACAGTGATGGGTCTGCGCAACCAGCCTGAAGCCTGCTGGGGCTCTTGAAGGAAAAGACAGCAATTTCCAGAGTCCTGTGGCTTAGAAATAAATCACCCGAACTGATGATGTGAGCTCATCTTCTTCTAGCCTACTCAAAAAGCAATAGAGAAGACGAAGAGAGAGAGAGAGAAAAAAAAAGTTCCTATGACAAAACTAAAAAAAAAAAAAAACTAAATAAAAAATAAAAGCAAGACATCCTTAGACCTAGAGAATTCCAGTTTCCCCGAAGAGCCTGGAGCCCTCTGAGGTGCCTAAAAAGAATTTTGCAGGGATCCTTTTCACCCTAAAGAAATCATGGCTCCAAGAAACCCGACACAGCTAGTTCACGCACCGTGACTCCAAGTTTTTCTTCCATTTCAACTCCACTCCTCCTTCGTGATTTTGCTTCACATCCATTAGAGGGGAAAAAAAGGTAATTTCTGCTTCTTCAAGAAAGACCAATAGAGGCTAAAACTTCTAGAAAGATGGGGATTCAAATGATTTAACGTAATTTCAGGACTAGCCTTGGTTTTATTAGCCGAGGACTATTAGGAAGTGAAGGAAGAGGCCCTCCGAGGCAAGATTCATTTCTGCCTTCCACGAAAGGAGAAGGGAAACACATGTGGGCTCAATGGGGTTCAGGGTATAACTTAATTCTTCATCTGTTTAGAGAAACAACCCACAATTCCTCTTTCTTAGAGAAAAAAGGAATTGAACTCAGGGCATCAGGCTTGTTGGTAAACTCCTTACCTCTGAGTCATCTAGCTGCCCCAAATGTAGATGACACTTAAAAGAGAAATTCCGAATCAAAAAGTACTCCGGTCTCTTCGCCGGGTGTTATCAGTACAAACAGGCTCCAGCCTCTGCCCAGGCAAGCTCAGAACCCCAGCTGGAGAAGGGGCTTCATTCCAGCAAGCCTTCATATTGAGGAACAGGACCGTTCCCCCTGTGTTGAAACAAACAGTGTTATCCACTATGGGATCCGATCCAGGCCAGTGCCCATCAGATCAATCAACCTCTTAAAAGTCTTTTTAGGATATTCAGCTACAGTCATGAATTAAAGATTCAAGGGAGAGAAGAAGAGTGCCCAGCTTCCAGTGGTTAACACTAGGTTCACATCCAAAGTGTGGGGCTGCGGCTCCTTCCCCAGGAGGCCTGAGAAGATGAAGTAAAATGGAAATGACTTTAGTGGGACACGGGAGTCAAGTTATAGCTAAATCACACGTTAAAAGGACAACAACAAAAATCCAGACTTTTCTGTTTTCTGCCGCTATGTCTGATTACGTCCAAAAAGTGGCTGAGTGGAAGGTTTTACTAACCTGCCCACCGCTGTACTTCCAAGTCTCTGATGAACCAGCCTGCCTCCATCTTCGGCTTGCAAACCATCTTATACTAAAGGCAAACAGGCTCATTCCTGTTTATGACTGGACCTCTGTTTCTCAGGGATTCGTCTATGCCCCACCTGGACCCTTAACTACAGATGGTTCTGTACTGCCTGTTCCAGGAAATGGCATTTTAAAAAGTTGTTATGACCACCTTGCAATCATGTTTTTGTTTCTGGAGGTTGTTATGACCAACTTGTTATTCTTATGTTCTGTTCCTGTCACCCCACCCATTTGCCTGCCCAATCCCCCATTTGGAAACCCCCTATTCCTAAGCTATAAAAATCCTTATCTTACCCATGCCCAATGCTGATCTCTTTAGGGAGAGACAGCCTATGTAAAAGAATTTTTTAAAAGCTTGCTTTATTTAGTTTGGCCATGATGATTTGGGTTGGTGGTCTTCTTCCTTGAATCTGAGGGACTAACATCTCTAAGTCATGACTCCTATGTATGTGCAAGACTGTGGATGTGGTGAGGGGTGGTAGCCGTAACCTCTAGATTTTACTTTCTGATTCTTTAAATTCTTCAAAATGTTTGCAGGTTAGAGTTATGCGAAAACTTTCTGGGGACAGGTTGGCAAGCAGGGTGTCTTCAGGGACGACAGTGGTCCCACAGGCCTCCCACCATCAACGTAACACAAGAACTGTAGAATTCTGCAATCGACATCTTGAATTCTCTGTTGTTGTTGCTTGGAGACAGAGTCTCATGTAGCCCAGCTTGGCCACAGAGTCACTATGCAGCAGGAACATGGCCTTGAACTTCTGGTGTTCCTGCCTGTGAGGGTAAGTGTATGCCACGACCACACCTGACTGCCATCAGGAAACTCTTGTTATCTTTGTGTTTGTGCTCTGTGAATGAAGTCTAGTGGGACAACGAGGTCTTCACTTCCCTGCGGTCCTGTCTCAGTTCTCCAGGACACACTGACATCTGCTCCCTGCCCTGACACCCAGGCCCTGCCAGGCCTCCTTCTCTCTTGCCGCACTGTTATTGCTGCCACCCTCCACTTGGGATGTACTGGGGTGTGGCGGTGGAGAAGGTCTGTGTTCTGTTGCTGGATCCCTGGCAGGGATCTGGGCACAGCAAGGGGATGGTTGGGATTGGCTGTGCTCTCCAAGGCATCAAAGGTCAGGACAGGTGGGCAGCAATCCCTGCCCTGGGGTGGCGGTGCCACTGTACATGTGGCTGGTGATGAGGCTATAGCCTTACCCAAGGACAGAGTGGCCCGTGGGCCACGGGCTGGGGCAGAGGGACTCTGGGAATGAGGTGGCTGAGTGAGTCCTCATTCTGGACTTGGGCTCTACGTCATCATTTTGCAACAGAACTTCTTGAACAGTGATCAGCTTCAAAGACTAGGGACGGGAAGTGGTGGAAAGAAGATTTCCTGTTTAATCCAGGTTTTAAATATCTCTAGCTTGGCACAGACAAGGAGGTTTCCCCAAATGAAGTGGAACTAGAAAGTGGGGGTATGAATGCAGAATGAAGGGGGAGGAAAGGCAGAAGTCATCATCAGCGTGATCCCAAATGCAGGCCTGGGCACAAAGATCCTTATCACAGAAAGGTAACGGCCACGTGGCCTTCCAGTGTAGGCTGACTCGATGCCCACGGAATATTTTTGGCTCCAGGCCACGCCTTCACAGTGTCCTGTGGGGAGGGTCATTTTGGCAAGAGAGGAAGATGTAGGGACACTCATGGCTGACATAGACCAGTGAGGACCGGGCCCAACAAGATCAGTGGTGTGGGCTTCGTGTAGCAATGGCTTCCTGTAGGGCTTCCTGAATCGTGGCGGGCAGAGACGAGAAAATGGGTCAGAACCTCCAGGATGCACACACTGAGGCCCAGCAGGCAGTATAAAATGTGCCAGCCTGCTCCCGGTTCTCCTTAGATCAGCGGAGAAGGAGCCAGGTGACCTTGCACTTGAGCACAGAATGGAATGAAGTCGAGTCTCAGCTGTGAGCTCAGCGATGAGGGAAGAGCAGATATTCTCTGGTGAGGGCTGACTTAATTAGCCATTTTAATAATTCATGAGTCTTTAAAACGCCTGCCAGATCCAGAGCTCAGATTCTGCTTCTGGTATTTAGCTCTGGTTGTCTCTCCCACAAATTGTGCCCCCTCACAGGACAGCCAGGAGGGAGCCTGGCAATAAGAGGCCTGGGTTTGGCCAGACCGTGTCCAGTTCTTAACCCTTCGGGGTTCAAAACCTCTTGGAGAATCTGGTGGAGGATCTGGACCCTTGCCCTAAGAAGATATGCATATGTACTTACAATTCAGGGCTCAACTGTCTCACCAGAAGTCCCCTTTCTTGAACCCTTGCTTAAGGATCCTTGATTTAGATCGTTTCTGAATCTATTTTTGGCTCACCCCCTAGCCAGGCTGTTAATCTGTCACCGCATTGCTGTGACTCTTTGGGTTTGCCGGCAACCGTCTCCTGTAGATTGTCTGCAAAGTGAAAAACGCATAATGCGATATTTGTTCATTAGGCTGAAGCCAATGTGAACGCAGAAAACAGAACGGAGTGAATGGAAAGCCGTGAGTCAGCTCCCTGCCTGCCACCTGCTACAGAGGCTGCCTGCTGAGGCCTAGTGGGTGGGCTCTGGGGTCAGACAGACTGGGGCCCTTGAATCTCATCCCAAGTGCCTTCTGGCTGTGACTTGGAGGAGCATCTTAACCATCCCGAACCTCAGTTTCCACATGCGTAAACTAGGGCTGGTAGGATGTAGCCTGTATCCAGATTTGGAGAGGACCAGGCTAGCTCAGTTCTGTAAACGCTTCTGCATGGTACTTGTGAAATGCCAAAAACTCCAGAACACTGCGTTGGTTGGTGCTGGGGGAGGGGACGTGCTGCAGAGGACACTCTGGGCTGGAGGCCTGTCCCCTTCCTCTCCGCCAGGCTAAGGTCTGAAGGGGCTGTAGGGGTGCCGGGGCATTCTGAAGCATTCTCTTTGTCACAGCCTTGGTGTCTTCCCCTCCATGCGGCGGCGGAGGGGTGGGGAGATATAAGAAACACTGAGGAGGGGAGACTGTGGGCTCTTTCTGGCTGCGAGCCCGAGTGCAGCAGAGAACAGAGCAGAGAGAAGGGAAAGCTAGCCAAAGAGCCCAAGAGCCAGGCTTCTCTTCTATTTCAGAATGGTGCAGGAGCAGGAGGGAGACGCGGCTGGATCCACCCCACCCCCACCCCCACCCCCGCCCAGGGGAATTCGGAGCCGGAAAGTCAGCAAGGTGTATCTCCTGTTCTGCTGGGCCTCACAAGGACGCGGAGAAAGGGGAGTACTGGATGGATGACAAATGTCCCATCCTGGATGAGGTCTGGGACCGTGAGGTCGGGGTGGCGGAGGGGGACTTGGTGCCAAGACACGGGTGCTACCTCTCATTTTTCTAGCAACACTCCAAGATAAACGGCATCATCCTTCGCTGCCGATGAGGAAACCTGACTTCAGAGAAGCAACTCAAAGGCAGCAGCTGTTTATGTGTTGCCAAGGGATCTACACCAGCCCGGGGTTGCTTGCCTCTGAAATCCTCTTCTCCTTCCCCACACCGGCTCAACTAGGTGAAAAGGGGAAGCCTGGGCAGTCCTAATTCTAGGTCCTGGAAAGCCACCCCCAGATGCGGACAGTGCTGTGCAGAGTCTCAGCTTGGTAAATATTTGCCCCGTGACTGAGACAGAGAGAATGCTCCTTTCTTGGTCCTGGGCAGCCTCTTGGCAGTTCACACGCACTGTTTACCTTTTCCTCCCACATTCCCCCCTGAGGAATCATCATCCCCGCCCCCCCCCCCTTCCTTTCCATCAGTCTGCTCAACTGAAAACAAGGCAGAGCGGTGTGAAGCCGAGTGCCTGCCATATATAAAACCTGTCTCCAGTCTGTCCCCTGTGGCCTCAGGTAGCCTTCCAAACAGCAAGGATTCTAGGGAAGAAAAATATCTTCACATCATTTAGTCAGGTGGACATAATGGGATGGGTGTCTTGGGGGGGGGGGTCTCCCAGCCCCACCCCTGAGGAAAAGGGCGGGGAGGTATACAGTTACCAAGAGGAAAGTGTCTGGGATTTCCTGGGGAAGCTGCCATCTCAGGGACTGAAAGTGAATCAGTAGGAAGTTCGGGAGCCGGGAGGTTCAGTCCCGCTGGGGCCTCTACTGAGGTGGAACGCTGTTGCTCTGGGGTGAAGCTGTGTCCTGGTTGGTTTGCAGCTCATGGTGCCAGGGAGAGAGCACAAGACCTCCACCCCCTTCCAGCCACCGACTCCATGATGCTAATGAGCCCTGATTGTTAAATGGAGGGCTTTGTCATCCTGGTGTCTCTACAAAATCCTAGCATGGCTCTGTATTTTCTAACCAAGGCCCTAGGCTTCTTTTTATAGCACGTCGGTTGGGTATGACATGTTCCCCCGGGGGTCAACTTTCTATTTTATTGCCACTTTAAGAGTATCTGAGCATGTGTTTAGAATTTACATCTAAATAATAGATTTCTGGATGGAAACAGCGTGTATTATTACTTACATTTGGTAAAGTCCCCTTGGATAAGAAGAACCAGCATAATATTAATTTTCCTTGCTGTCACTTGACAATATGAATTGGTTTTGTATAAGAACCAGGAGCTCATTGGATTGAATTTAGGAAACTGGTAAAAACAAATCTGTCTTCAGTGGGTTTGAATGATTACAGCATAGTAAACACACACAGGCTGAAAGGTTAATTTATCATTGCTTCCAGTTTTATTTATTTGAGACTCCTTCATCATGGGTATAAACAGCCTTTATTAAAGATTATGAATCCAATTTCCAAATGAGCTGTAAATGGCTTTCTATAGAGAGATTATTTGATTTGTTGTTTTCTTGAATAAAACATGGTTTTGCCCCGTGGGTTATGGAGCCTGTATATTAATATTGGAAGATAATTCTGTTGTGCTTGGCATCTGTGATGTGCAATGTTGGATTTGTTCTCTGATCTATCTGTCTTCACTCTCTTTAATAAATGCCGAGACCGAATGCCTAACCTCTTAAGACCTGCACTCCAGTGAGTCATAAAAGAATGTCTGTCTGTATGGCAGTTTATCACTGGAATGATAATTCTGGTTCCCTTTAAAAATGCGAAAGTGTCTGCTCTTCAAAACAGACTGCGGTGAAAGGCTAGAGAGATGCTGTGGGTCACTGCGGGGAGTCATAATTGACCTCCGCCTTTGTCGCATAGAAACAGGCTGACAGGGCATTAGCTCATTGCATACCGCTGAACTACCAATATGCTGCCCTCTGAGGTGAAGGCTGGAGGCAGGACTTTGCCGTTTGCAATTTAGAAAATTACCTAGAGCAGACCCTTGAGGGGAGGCAGCCTGCAGGAGAGAAGTCCTAGTACTTCCCCGAGTGCTGCAATGCACAAATGCAAATATTACAAAGGGAATTGGTGCCTGGGTGGGGTCTTCATTGTGCAGGAGGCTAGGAAGGTCCTAGGCAGGCCGTTTCTTCCAGTCCCTCAAGGCCAGTCAGTATACTTTAATATATTAAAGCTGTTGTCTGAAGGGCTAGAAAAGTTAACGTCTGAAGAGATCCTATCTCTCTAGGCAAGTTCCTTTTGTGTTGCTATTTTACTGCATCGTGGACTCCAGAGTCAAAGGCATAAAGTTCTAGTGGCTGAGGGTTGTCACTGAATGTCAGTTTCAGAAGAACTGAGTCCCTGCTGCTAATGACAGTATTGTGTCCAGCCTATAAGGTAACAACTTTCACATTTAAAAATTCGTTTTTATTTTTGAATTAGTTTTTTTTTTCCCTTCCTCCAAAGGATCTCCTTATACAGCCCTGGATAACCTAGAACTGTCCATATAGACCAGGCTGGCTTCAATCTTCAGGTTATTACCCTCTCTCAGCCTCCTGGGGAGCTGGGATTGCCAGCTTGTGCCACCCTACCCGCCCCCCAGCCTCAGCTGGTCCATAGAACTTTAAAGCAGCATCCAACCAAAGGCCTGGGTGTCCAAATTAAATTGGGCCACAGCCCGGTCTTTGAACTTTATTGTCATCGGGGTTTTAAGCTGCTTCAATAATCCTGTAGTAAATACACATAGTTAAAGTATGTATGTAATCCTGTAGTAAATACACATAGTTAAAGTATGTAAAGTAAAGAATGTGTTGTGTCTCAGCAATGAGTCAGCCTAGACTAGTACAAGGCATCAAGTCAGGCTAATGTCTTAAGGGGGCTGGCCCCCTTGACACAGAGGGTGAGGGAGGCCCCGAGACTATCTGACATACATCTAAGTCTTCTCTTCAAACTCCAGACTCCCCCTCTTTTCTTAGCCCCCCCTAAGGAATTCAAGTTTATCATTTCTCTCTCCCGTGGAAAGTAATTCTCTTCCTTCCAAGATGTTTCGGATAACCTTACTTCTGATCACATCTACAGCCAGGCATTACACTGGATCCGTTACATGGATACCAGAAGAACAGAACAACCTTCCAATACCAATAGACCGGATACTTAACCCGACTCGGGAAGTCATGCTGAATCTCTCTATTGACGGCTCATTTGGAAATTGGATTCTTAAGCTTCATTCTTTTACTTTTGGAGACAGGTGCCCTGGCTGGACTCAGACATAGCCTGGGCTAGCCTTGAAGTCTTGCTTCTCCGGCCTCTGCTAGGAATTTAGGTGTATGCTACTTCCCCTGCTTTCATTCATTATCTTTAATAAAGCCTGCCTTAACCTCTGTCTGGATGGAAGGTTCTGGTTATCTTCTCTGTCTTGATAATCTTGTAGGTGTCTGCTCCTACATTTAGCATATGGCATATGTAAAATTACTCAGCTTTTTTATTCACTGATAGATTATTAATACGTATGTAAATATGACATAATATCTTAGCTTATTTTAGTGGGATCTGCAAATTTTGCATGATCTTAGGATTTCAGTTTGACTCTTAGCAGTAAAACTACTTTTTCAAACCTAACTTTGCTTTCTATCTGACAAGAGATTATTTCTCTTCATTCTCTGTTTCAAAATTCCATTCTATTCTAAAAGCCATGTTTTTTTTTTTTTTTTTTTTTTTTTTTTAATTTTATGTCTGTGAGTATCGTACCTGCACGTAAGTGTACTTACTACGTGCATGTAGTGCCCATAGAGGCCAGAAGAAGATGTTGGATCTCCAGGGACTGGACTTATAGACAGTTGAGAGCTGCCTTGTGAATGCTAGGAACCAAACCTGTGTCCTCTGCAAGAGCAGCAAGTGCTCTTAGCTGCTGGGCCATCTTTTTGGCCACCCCACACCAAAACAAAACAAAACAAAACAAAACAAACATAAACCAAAAACCCTGAATTTAAACCTTGCCCTTCAAAGTTTTTAGACTACCAACACTCACACAACACACACACACACACACACACACCCCACACATTTTTATGCTCTGAGTTCCTAAATTAAACATGTTATAGTCTAGCTTCATATTTGTAGACTTTTACATTTACATTTAAAATAGGAACTTCCACTTCTATTTAAAAAAAAAAAAAGATTTCTTGAACTTCCATGTAAAACAGAATCCCTGCCCTCTCCCCGTCCCCTCTGTCCTGTAGGAAGAGCATTAAGTCCCCATCCCTCTCCCTGTCCCCTCCCTCTCCCCGTCCCCTCCCTCTCCCCGTCCCCTCCCTCCTGTAGGAAGAGCATTAAGTAGCAATGACAGTGAGTGTGTGGTTAGAGTGGGGTGTGTGTGTGGCCTCTGCAGAGGCAGTTCTGATGCTCCTGCCCGCGGAGGGCCCGTGCCTCCCCCATCCCGTCAAGCCCTGCCCCTCTAAGCCCCCTTCCACCAGCTTCCCGTGGGCTTTGGGGTTTCCAGGGCGGTTCTGGGTTCTCTCACAGGAGACAGCATGGGGAAGAACCTGAAATGCTCAGAGCCTAGAGAACAAGGCACCAGGATAAAGGCTGTGTTAAGAAGAAGTTGTGAGGACCAACAGATAGCCAGCCAAGCATTTATGAACAGCTGAAAATAAACACATAATAATGACTTTTAATGTGTTTAAAGTGAGCAGGGTGTGTGTGTGGGGGGGATGCATTTAAAGTCCCTTCGGATCCTTGAGTAAGGTGGCTTCTTCTAGGAGTTGTCAGAGAAAATACAAGTTACACTTGGGACATTTTGTACCAGAAAGCCAAACAGAACTCGAAAATTGATAGAGCCACAGGAAAAGGACATAGGAGTTGATCCGCACTGCTCACACTCACCAAATCTGGTATGACTTGAGTATCAAAAACTAAGACACTGGGGCTGGAGAGATGGCTCAGCGGTTAAGAGCACAGGCTGCTCTTCTCGAGGTCTGGGGTTCAAGTCCCAGCACCCATAGGGTGGCCCACAACTATCTGTAATGGGATCTGGTTCTCTTTTCCGATGTGTGTGAAGACAAGACAGGTCACTCATACACATTAAACAAACAAACAAATAAAACTAACACACACATACACACACACACACAGAGAGAGAGAGAGAGAGAGAGAGAGAGAGAGAGAGAGAGAGAGAGAGAGAGAACTAAAACTGTACTAATGTTCACAAAAAAAGAGAAGGGCTAAGGAGTTATAAGAATACCAGATCTCTATAGAGGAACAGAGTGTTACCCCACAAACTGCTTATTAGTTAAAAGTGGAAAGTAGATCCCATGATGAGGTCTGCCATCTTAAATGATCAAATTACTATCATTGCTGTAGAACAACGCTCTCACATGCTCTTTAGAGTACACAATGTGGAATACACAACGCTCTCACATGCTCTTTAGAGTACACAATGTGGAATACACAACGCTCTCACATGCTCTTTAGAGTACACAATGTGGAATATACAACGCTCTCACATGCTCTTTAGAGTACACAATGTGGAATACACAACACTCTCACATGCTCTTTAGAGTACACAATGTGGAATATACAAATAGTACCTGTGAAATATTTTTTCCTAGAGTCTTCAACTTGAATCTTGTCAAGTGTTTAGAACTATATTCTAGGTTATCAGAAACACAAGAAATAGAGGAACAAACTCAACAATGCTGTAAGGAAATGAACAGACAAACCTAGAATATTTCAGAAATATTTCAGAAATATCACTGTTGGGGGTTGGGGGTGTGGCTCAGTTGGTAACATGTCTGCCTAGCATGCATGAAGGCAGAAATAGCAATATCATAAACAGAAAATGCAAAAACAATTCAGAGAGGGGACATTGGGACCCAGCCCCTTCCTCTCTGTGTCTCCGTGTCCTGGCCAGCATGAAGTGAACAGATATCCTTGGCCATGAACTCTCAGGGCCATGACATGTTGCTTCACCACAATTCCAAAAGCAATGGGGTCCGGTGACCGTGGAATAAACCCTGGAGTCAAAGCACATCTTTCCTCCGTGTACGGCAGTTTAGTTAGATCATTTAAAGCCCTTCGGAGCAGACAGCCATCTCCCCTAAGTTCCACAAGGGGAGCCTGGAAAGATGGGCTGGATAACCAATGAGAACGGGGAAAGATGAGGAAGAAAAGGGAGCAGTCTGCAATAATGCCAACCTTCGAGTCTTGAGGACCAACGTCCCTCGTTTCACCTGTCAGTCTTACAGTAGTCAGAAACCAAGCCACTATAAAGAAAATGAGGTAAGTAATTTGAGGTCCACTTGCAGAGACATCTCCACGCAGTCTTTCATGCTACCAATGACGCAACAAGATCAACTCTTGTCTGTACAAACATTCTGAGAATAAAAACACACTTTGTTTCAGCTTAATTATCTGGTGGTTAGCTGCTTTAATTCTTAATTTCATGGTGCTAATATATTTTCTAAATAAGACGAGAGGCAAAAACAATTAGAAACTCAATTTAAAAATAACATAAACAAGATCACACAATGACAAAAGAAAACCCTGGGGAAGGTGGGGTGTGGTGATGCACACCTTTGATCCCAGCACTTCCAGGACTTGGGAGGCAGAGGCAGGTGGATATCTGTGAGTTTGAGGCCAGCATGGTCTACATAGTGAGTTCCAGGACAGAAGAGCTATGTAGTGAGGGCCTGTCTTAAAAAAAAAAAAAAAAAAGTGCAAACAACCATGTCTACCAAACTTGTTTTGTTTAAAACTAATTTGTAGGTTAGCATACAAAGTGATGGTTTTTATGTGTGTATGTGTGTGCGCGCGCGCGCGATGTGTGTATGTGTGCGCATGTGTGTGTATGTGTGTGTGTGTATGTGTGTGTGTGTGTGCCCCTGTATATACACATACACCTGGAAACCAGTGGAGGATGTTGGATGTCCTGCTCTGTCACCCTCCTTATTCCCTTGGGGCAGGGTCTCTCTGAACTTGAAGTTCACGTTTCAGTTAAGCACCCAGGATCTGCTTGGCTCTACTCCCTAATGCTGGGGTCACAGGCATCATGGCCATGCCTGGCTTTTATGAGGGTGCCAGGGAGTCAAACTCAGGTCCCTGTGCTGGCGAAGCAAGTGTTCTTACCCACTGAGTCCTCTCACCAGCCCAAAGTGATAGATTTCATTTTGGCATCTTTATTCACAAACTTTTATCTTATTCCTGGTCCTCCACTGTTCCTCCTCCATTTCTCCTGCCCCTTCTTGCTGGTCCCCTCCTTCCTCCCAGTAGTTCCCACAAGAATTTCATTACCTTCTCTTTTTCCCTCCCTTCCTCTGTCCCCATCCCCCCTCTACCCTCTTAAGAGCCCTTCTTTATCTCTCATTCATATCCATTTAACAGATTTTGAGAAAACGATCATTTCTCTTGGAGTTAGGAAGACATGGTGGGGGTGGGGGATGTAGGCCTTGGTCCAAGTACGAGCCAATGTCCAGTAGAAAGGAAACAGGAAGCAAATCAGCAAAGACTCTCGGGAGTGGGCTCAACACACACAGACACTTGTGAGTGAGTGACAGGGTGAGGCACAGTGGCGGCTCTCCCTCTCCCCCCACCTCCCCACTCCCCATTCTCTCACCCCCCCACCCCCCCCACTTCCCCACCCCCACCCCCACCTCCTGCCTCCAAGCAGATGCCAACAGCATTTTCAGTATTTCTAGACAGGGCCTCCATTTTGAACGTCCCAATCTATTCGCCCTCTAGACACCCCTCCCCACAGGACTGAGGGGTGCTTTCCTACCCGGATCATATCCCACCATACACACCTTCGAGGCTGCTCCATTTCTCCGGGACTGGAGAACTCCCTGCTCAGACGGCCAGGCGGTAGGCTCCTTCCTCAGTCTACTCTCCTAGGGATGCGCGGTAGCTCTCTGGAGATGACATGATGACAGACGGGGCAATGATCACGTCTCCCTGATCCCTCATCTTTGTATTACGTGGCCTAAAGCACCCCTTTCCTCCTCTTCCGCTTCCACTCTGATTCCCGTGTGTTATGATATGGATGTGCCCGCTAAGAACTCACATGTGAAATTTAAATCCCAAATTCATGTCACTGGTAATTGGAGGTGTGCCGTTGGGAAGCCATCAGTATTAGATCAGATCCGGGTGCCCTTCAGTGGCTGTGTAAGAAGACAGGCACAAACTAGCATGCTTGGTCTGTGTCACACGGTGAAGCCCTCCACCATGCTATGACGGAGCAAGAAGGTACTTAGACCAAGTAGGTACTGAGTGCTGGAACCATGTTCTTGGACTCCCAGCCTCCAGAACCAGGAGATGAATTTTTGTTCCTTGTCATCTGTTGCCTCAACAGAAAGTGCAGAGATACTAAGTGTCTAGAAAGTGTCTCCCTTGCCCATTAGCATATTCTCCATGGCTTCCCATGCTCACTTCCATCACAATGCATTTAGAGTGTCTAACAGCACAGCCTATTGGTATTTACTGAGTGAGTGGTCAAGGTTTTCAGGATGCTCAAACACCCCGATTTTCCTGGAAGGGTCTGGTTTTAGCACTGGATGTTCAACAGCT